TTGACGAAGAATCATTTTCGCGATGTTTGGAGTTGGTATGCCTCGTCAAGCCGCCTTTCGACTTGCATATTTTTGTGCATTTGGGACAAGGAAACGACTTTTTACCTTCGATTTCTGTCACAGCCTCAACAAATTCAGCATCGATCTCATCACTTTCAGCTTCAACAACAGCGACAGACAAATTTAAATAAAATGCATCATCTGACAAGTCATCGGCTGGCGTTTCGAACCACGTCTCCGTTTCGTAATGCTCACTGGGGTCATCAACATACTCATCAGACAAATTGTATTCTTCCTCAATATCTATTTCACTCTCCATAGCGTTTTCTTTCCTTTTAGGCGTGAAACAAGCCCACTATTGAGAGTTTTATACAGCCTAATGTAATTTGACACTGTAATTTAATACATTGAAATCAACCGGAAATCAACATGATGCACCTTATTGTGCACGTGACTAGTTTTTCCTTTGAACCTCAACATAATTTGCCGCCCCTTTTGAAGTTTGCCGGCTAGCCTAACCATCCCCTTCAATTAACTGTGGTGTCAGGAACCTTGTCCTCACCTCCAGGAACCTTGTCCTCACCGCCAGGAAGTTTGTCCTCAGTGGCAGGAACCTTGTCCTCACCGCCAGGAACCTTGTCCTCACCGCCAGGAACCTTGTCCTCAGTGCCAGGAACGTTGTCCTCACCGCCAGGAACCTTGTCCTCAGCGCCAGGAACCTTGTCCTCAGCGCCAGGAACCTTGTCCTCACCGCCAGGAACATTGTCCTCACCGCCAGGAACCTTGTCCTCAGCGCCAGGAACCTTGTCCTCAGCGCCAGGAACCTTGTCCTCACCGCCAGGTACCTTGTCCTCAGCGTCAGGAACATTGTCCTCATCTCCAGGAACCTTGTCCTCACCGCCAGGAACCTTGTCCTCAGTGGCAGGAACCTTGTGGTCACTGCCAGGAACCTTGTCCTCACCGCCAGGAACCTTGTCCTCACCGCCAGGAACCTTGTCCTCAACGCCAGGAACCTTGTCCTCAGCAGGAACCTTGTCTTCAGTGCCAGGAAGCTTGACGTCAGCGCCAGGAACCTTGTCCTCAGTGCCAGTAACCTTGTCCTCAGCATCAGGAACCTTGTCCTCAGCACCAGGAACCTTGTCCTAAGCACAAGGAACCTTGTCCTCAGCACTAGGAAGATTGTCCTCACCGCCGGGAACCAATCCTCACCGCCGGGAACCTTGTCCTCACCGCCAGGAACATTGTCCTCACCGCCAGGAAGATTGTCCTCACCGCCAGGAACCTTGTTCTCACCGCCAGGAACATTGTCCTCAGCGCCAGGAACATTGTCCTCAGCGCCAGGAACCTTGTCCTCAGCGCCAGGAACCTTGTCCTCAGCACCAGGAACCTTGTCCTCAGCACCAGGAACCTTGTCCTCAGCACTAGGAACATTGTCCTCACCGCCGGGAACCAATCCTCACCGCCGGGAACCTTGTCTTCACCGCCGTGAACCTTGTCCTCAGCACCGGGAACCTTGTGCTCACCGCCAGGAACCTTGTCCTCACCGCCAGGAACCTTGTCCTCACCGCCAGGAACCTTGTCCTCAGCACCGGGAACCTTGTCCTCACCGCCAGGAACCTTGTGCTCACCGCCAGGAACCTTGTCCTCGCCGCCAAGAACCTTGTCCTCGCCGCCAAGAACCTTGTCCTCAGCGCCAGGAACCTTGTCCTCAGCGCCAGGAACCTTGTCCTCACTGCCAGGTACCATGTGCTCAGTGTCAGGAACCTTGTCCTCACCTCCAGGAACCTTGTGCTCACCGCCAGGAACTTTGTCCTCAGTGGCAGGAACCTTGTCCTCACCGCCAGGAACCTTGTCCTCACCGCCAGGAACCTTGTCCTCAGTGCCAGGAACGTTGTCCTCACCGCCAGGAACCTTGTCCTCACCGCCAGGAACCTTGTCCTCAGCGCCAGGAACCTTGTCCTCAGCGCCAGGAACCTTGTCCTCAACGCCAGGAACCTTGTCCTCACCGCCAGGAACCTTGTCCTCACCGGCGGAAACCTTGTCCTCACCAGCAGGAACCTTGTCCTCAGCGGCAGGAACCTTGTCCTCATCGCCAGGAACCTTGTCCTCACCCCCAGGAACCTCGTCCTCACCGCCAGGAACCTCGTCCTCAGCGCCAGAAACCTTGTCCTCAGCGCCAGGAACCTTGTCCTCACCAGCAGAAACCTTGTCCTCACCGGCAGAAACCTTGTTCTCAGCGGCAGGAACCTTGTACTCACCTCCTGGAACCTTGTCCTCAGCGCCAGGAACCTTGTCCTCATCGCCAGGATCCTTGTCCTCACCCCCAGGAACCTCGTCCTCACCGCCAGGAACCTCGTCCTCAGCGCCAGGAACCTTGTCCTCAACGCCAGGAACCTTGTCCTCACCAGCAGAAACCTTGTCCTCACCGGCAGAAACCTTGTTCTCAGCGGCAGGAACCTTGTCCTCACCTTCTGGAACCTTGTCCTCAACGCCAGGAACCTTGTCCTCAACGCCATGAACCTTGTCCTCAACGCCATGAACCTTGTCCTCAACGCCATGAACCCTTTCCTCAGCGCCAGGAACCTTGTCCTCAGCGCCAGGAACCTTGTCCTCATCGCCAGGAACCTTGTCCTCATCGCCAGGAACCTTGTCCTCACCCGCAGCAACCTCGTCCTCACCGCCAGGAACCTCGTCCTCAGCGCCAGGAACCTTGTCCTCAGCGCCAGGAACCTTGTCCTCACCGCCAGGAACCTTGTCCTCAACGCCAGGAACCTTGTCCTCAACGCCAGGAACCTTGTCCTCAACGCCAGGAACCCTGTCCTCGCCGCCAGGAACCCTGTCCTCGCCGCCAGGAACCTTGTCCTCAGCGCCAGGAACCTTGTCCTCACCGCCAGGAACCTTGTCCTCACCGCCAGGAACCTTGTCCTCACCTCCAGGAACCTTGTCCTCACCGCCAGGAACCGTGTCCTCACCGCCAGGAACCATGACCTCATCGCCAGGAACCTTGTCCTCACCGCCAGGAACCGTGTCCTCAGCGCCAGGAACCCTGTCTTCAACGCTAAGAACCCTGTCCTCACCGCCAGGAACCTTTTCCTCAGCGCCAGGAACCTTTTCCTCAGCGCCAGGAACCTTGTCCTCACCGCCAGGAACCTTGTCCTCATCGCCAGGAACCGTGTCCTCAGCGCCAGGAACCCTGTCCTCACCGCCAGGAATCTTGTCCTCATCGCCAGGAACCTTTTCCTCAGCGCCAGGAACCTTGTCCTCACCGCCAGGAACCTTGTCCTCATCGCCAGGAACCGTGTCCTCAGCGCCAGGAACCGTGTCCTCACCGTCAGGAGTCTTGTCCTCACCGCCAGGAACCTTGTCCTCACCGCCAGGAACCTCAGCGCCAGGAATCTTGTCCTCACCGCCAGGAACCTTGTCCTCATCGCCAGGAACCGTGTCCTCAGCGCCAGGAATCTTGTCCTCACCGCCAGGAACCTCAGCGCCAGGAATCTTGTCCTCACCGCCAGGAACCTTGTCCTCATCGCCAGGAACCGTGTCCTCAGCGCCAGGAACCGTGTCCTCACCGTCAGGAGTCTTGTCCTCACCGCCAGGAACCTTGTCCTCACCGCCAGGAACCGTGTCCTCAGCGCCAGGAATCTTGTCCTCACCGCCAGGAACCTTGTCCTCACCGCCAGGAACCGTGTCCTCAGCGCCAGGAACCTTGTCCTCACCGCCAGGAACCTTGTCCTTAGCGCCAGGAATCTTGTCCTCACCGCCAGGAACCTTGTCCTCATCGCGAGGAACCGTGTCCTCAGCGCCAGGAACCGTGTCCTCACCGCCAGGAACCTTGTCCTCACCGCCAGGAACCTTGTCCTCACCGCCAGGAACCCTGTCTTCAACGCTAGGTACCTTGTCCTCACCGCCAGGAACCTTGTCCTCAGCGCCAGGAATCTTGTCCTCACCGCCAGGAACCTTGTCCTCATCGCCAGGAACCGTGTCCTCAGCGCCAGGAACCGTGTCCTCACCGTCAGGAGTCTTGTCCTCACCGCCTGGAACCTTGTCCTCACCGGCAGGAGCCTTGTCCTCACCGCCAGGAAGCTTGTCCTCACCGCCAGGAACCTTGTCCTCACCGCCAGGAACCGTGTCCTCAGCGCCAGGAACCTTGTCCTCACCGCCAGGAACCTTGTCCTCACCGGCAGGAACCTTGTCCTCACCGCCAGGAACCTTGTCCTCACCGCCAGGAACCCTGTCCTCACCGCTAGGAACCTTGTCCTCACCGCCAGGAACCTTGTTCTCAACGCCAGGAATCTTGTCCTCATCGCCAGGAACCTTGTCCTCACCGCCAGGAACCGTGTCCTCAGCGCCAGGAACCGTGTTCTCAGCGCCAGGAACTTTGTCATCACGGCCAGGAACCTTGTCCTCAGCGCCAGGAACCTTGTCCTCATCGCCAGGAACCTTGTCCTCAGCGCCAGGAACCTTGTCCTCATCGCCAGGAAGTTAAGAAACTTTTCGTTCATTTTTTCCCCCACTTTCATTTTTGAAAAAGTGGCAAAAATAACAAAAAGGTAAGGCTATAGCCTTAACTTTTCGTCCATTTTTAGCCACTTATTTCATTTATGAAAAGTGTCAAAAATGACAAAAATATAAGGCTATAGGGTTAACTTTTCGTCCATTTTTAGCCACTTATTTCATTTTTGAAAAAGTCACGAGCATTTTAATTAATTCCACACAAGACGAGAGATAAAGAAGGAGTTAAAGCAAGTGTAGGCGAGATGGTCTATTGGTAAAGACGAATTGTTGCAAGTATGTGAAACTAGATTCGATTCCTGGTTGTATCAAAAAGAATTTTAATGTCGGGTGCCCCTGTTAATTAATTCCACCCGAGACGAGAAAGAGTTAAGTACAATAAGAAAGGAGTTAAAGCAAGTGTAGGCGAGATGGTCTAGTGGTAAGGACGAGGTGTTGCAAGTGCGTGAAGCCAGGTTCGATTCCTGGTTGTGTCAAGATCATTTTAATGGCGGGCGTCGTTGTTAATTAATTCCACCCGAGACGGGAAAGAGTTAAGTAGAATAAAAAAGGATTTAAAGCAAGTATAGGCGAGATGGCCCAGTGGTAAGGATGAGGTGATGCAAGTGCATGAAACCAGGTTCGATTCCTGGTTGTTAAGTAGAAATACACGTTAGAATAGGATTGGTTTTATTCTTCGAAAAAATAAGTAAATGAATGTCTTGGGTTCTGTGCCCAGGGCCACAGTGATCCAAGACATTCATTTATCTATCTCTTAGTGAAAAATAGATAAATGAATGTCTTGGGTTACCTGTGGCCCTGGGCACAGATGACCCAAGACATTAATTTATCTATCTTTTAATGTAGTGACAAGGTTCTAAGGACAAGGTTCTGAGGACAAGGTTCCTGACGCCTGAGGACAAGGTTCTGAGCAATCTGAGGACAAGGTTCTGAAGACAAGGTTCTGAGGACAAGGTTCCGAGGACAAGGTTCTGAGGACAAGGTTCTGAAGACAAGGTTCTGAAGACAAGGTGCCCCACGCTGAGGACAAACCGTTCTGAGGACAAGGTTCCTCACACTGAGGACAAGGTTCCTCACGCTGAAGACAAGGTTCTGAGGGCAAGGTTCTGAGGACAAGGTTCATCACGCTGAGGACAAGATTCGTCACGCTGAGGACAAGGTTCTGACGAAGTGCGTGAAGCCAGGTTCGATTCCTGGTTGTTAAGTAGAAATACACGTTAGAATAAGATTGGTTTGATTCTTCGAAAAAATAAGTAAATGTGCCCAGGGCCACAGGTAACCCAAGACATTCATTTATCTATCTCTTAGTGAAAAATAGATAAATGAATGTCTTGGGTTACCTGTGGCCCTGGGCACAGAACCCAAGACATTCATTTATCGATCTTTTAATGACAGTGACAAGGTTCTAAGGACAAGGTTCTGAGGACAAGGTTCCTCACGCTGAGGACAAGGTTCTTAGCAATCTGAGGACAAGGTTCTGAGGACAAGGTTCTGAGGACAAGGTTTTGAGGACAAGGCTCTGAGGACAAGGTTCTGAGGACAAGGTTCGTCACGCTGAGGACAAGGTTCGTCAACGCTGAGGACAAGGTTCAGACGAAATGCGTGAAGCCAGGTTCGATTCCTGGTTGTTAAGTAGAAATACACGTTAGAATAAGATTGGTTTTACTTTTCGAAAAAATAAGTAAATGAATGTCTTGGGTTACTGTGCCCTGGCCACAGTAACCCAAGACGTTCATTTATATATTTTCTCAGGAATCGAACGTGGCTTCACGCACTTGCAACACTTTGTCGTTACCACTAGACCATCTCGCCTACACTTGCTTTAACACCTTTCTTATTGTACTTAACTCTTTCTCGTCTCGACACCCCACATCAAAATGCTCTTGACACAACCGGGAATCGAACCTGGCTTCGCCCACTTGCAACACCTCGTCCTTACCACTAGACCATCTCCCCTGCAGTTGCTTTAACTCCTTTTTTATTCTACTTAACTCTTACTCGCCTCGGGTGGAATTAATTAATAGCGACACCCGACATTAAAATGCTCTTGACACAAACAGGAATCGAACCTGGCTTCACGCACTTGCAACACTTCGTCCTTTCCATTAGACCGTCTCGCCTACAGTTGCTTTAACGCCTTTTTTATTGTACTTAACTCTGTCTCGTCGCGGGTGGAATTAATTAACAAGGACGTCCGACATTAAAATGCTTTTGACACAAAGGAGAATCGAACCTGGCTTCGGACAATTGCAACACCAGAAGACTACCACTATACTAGTAGATCTATTCAGTGGTGGAAACTATACTAATATCTACATAATCTCTCGTCACCAAGTTTTATTTAAAAAAAATTAAGTCGCCAAAAATTTAGCCTGCGTACGCAGGCTACCAAAAATTAAAAGCCTGAGCTTTTACTTTTTGGCACGCAAATAATGATGAAATTATTTAAGTCCTTAATATTTTTTAAATTTCTTGATATAAAAAGGTTCATGCAACTTTACTTTACAAAAACTAGATAAAACTTTCTCCCCCCCCCTTTTTTCAAGGACAAAAAAGCACAAAAAATATACGAACTATTAAGGGTTTGTCTTTGCCTTTTTCAGAAATCATAACATAACGAAAACTTAAATTTTTAAAAGGCTCACCTTTACTTTTTTGCCTATCTTTTGTGAACTAAAAAACGGTCTAAAATAATAAAAAAATTAAGCTGTTAGCCTTACTTTTTCCGATTTTGGCCCTATTTTTTATAAATACAAAATTGGCTAAAATGAGAGAAAACGTGAAGCGGTTACCTTACGCTTTTGGTGATTTTTTGGTGGTTTGGCCTATTTTCAAGATTGTTGGCCTACGAAGATTTAAGGATTAGCCTTTACTTTTTTGGGGACACACAAAGGACATGGGACATGCAAAGGGGGTCTACAGGTACCCTAGGTTTAGCCAACGGGGGACTACAAGAAATTTTTCAAAAATTAAAAACCCCCTCAAACTAGTCCAAACTTTCTGAAAACTGTCGAAAACCTTTCCTGTTATCAACAATGGACAACTTGCATCTTAGACTAAATTTTAATCTAAGTAAAGAGAAGGGATTAAAACACAACAGTTAAAAAGAAAATAATGAAATTAGTAAAATTGTAAAATTTGATTGCGAAATGTTGTAAAATGCAGAAAATATAGACAATATAGCCTTGCGAAGTTTTCATATTTTCAGTATATTTGTATTGCATGCAGAATTTGTTCCCATTTTCGTCTCAAAAATGGTAACAATTTCCACAAGTAATACAAACATACTGAAAATATGCAAACTTCGCAAGGCTATAATTTCTGTATTTTACAAC